CACAAATCAGCCACCTGTTGTTTGTATAGAACCATTTGCTACATGCTAAATAACTCTTTCAACACCTGTTGAGAACCTCACTCTTATAGCCTCCTACTATGAGAAACCTTAACCAATTGGTTGAAAAAACTTTTCCACCTTACTGACCCTCTACACACTAGGTCTGGGTAGGACAGGCTAATACAATTTCAGGTTTTGAATTCTATCAATTGCTAAGATTTTAGTACATTCTCCTTGATTAGGAGCTTCCACTAAGGAATTATTCTCACTTTTTTCTATTACAAGTATGGTTACAAGCATGGAATATGAGATCATTGAAAATAGAGTATGAAGTAAGGATTACAACTATGAAGGCTTGTACTTTAATGATTCTCTTTTATCTTGCTTACTTCAAACGATTCCCTTAGTCTTCCTTTTATGAACTCCAAAATAGGTCCATTGGAGTTGGCTTGACTTTTAAGCAGTTCTAACGTCATCTTATATTTTTATTCTGGTGTTGTCAACATATCCTTTAGAAGCAGTTTGTTTCTTAAGCTTCCTTCTAGGTGTGCTTCTAAGTAACTTTCTGAATAAGGTCTTTAGTATTAGTCTTTTGAGAAGCTAAGTTTGAACTAAGACTTGCTACTTTTGAAGCTTCCTTGTAAGTGTGTTTTTGTGTAACCTTTTGAATAGGATCTTCAGTACCAGTCTTCTAGAAAGTTGAGTTTGAACTAAGACTTGTTGCTTGGGAGGCTCTGCTAAGGAGACTAATGTATAGGACACTTCAAGGTATCTTCGTTGAGAGAATATGTCCAACTTGAATCTCCTTGAAACATCAAACTTGTGCACACACAGATAGCTATGACCAAGGTGTTTTCCATCAGCTAAAAAACATGTTTATGATTTTAAGAGTTCTTCTAAGTTGGAACACTTATAATATTTCTGAGTACATAACAAACAAAAACTAAAACACTTGAGCAAAATTGTTAGTATTCTTTATGAACACTCTTTTATGATAAAAACACAAAACTAAGGATTTGTCATTATTAAAACATTCATTAATGAAAATATTAAACAATTCACTCTAAGCAACGGTAAACAAAGACTACCCTTGCAACACCATGTCAACTTGCTTTAAGCAAGTGAATTACCGCTCTAAGCCTTTGCATGTCACTCTAAGCGATCACAATTCACTCTGAGCGGACCAAGTCAGAGCGCATACCTAACTTGATCGCACTTATTTGCTTTCAGCAAATAAACCTAGAAGACATTCATAATTTTCCAAAATAAGAACAAGAAAAATCACTATGTCATTCAAATCCAACACTTTATATTCACACATGGAGTTTAGAAATCAATTGCATGCAACATCGAATTTCATATATATGCAACATTCTCAACTCATTTCCAATCAAAAACAACACACGCAACCATCAAAGTATCAAGATCATTCATTTTCACTCAACTCATGCAAGAGAGCATCAAAACCCCATTTCAACATGCAACCCACTCCAAAATTAATCCACACAACTACAAATCTCAAAGATTCTTACAACATGTAACTTATAATCCAACTAACAACTAAACAACTCCATTAAACAAGAATTTCAACTCCCCTTACATCGTAAAGGAGTGAAATTGGGGATGGACTCCAAGCTAGAAGAAGATGATGATGATGAAGAAGAAGAAGAAGAAGAAGAAGAAGAAGAAGAAGAAGAAGAAGAAGAAGAAGAAGAAGAAGAAGAAGAAGAAGAAGATAAAACTTAAAGCTTCCCTCTCTAGGGTTCTCTCTCTAAGATTTATAAAGAATGGAACTTATCAAACTCCATTTTAAATAAAACCTCATATACTTGTTTATTCAAAGTCAAACTAAACCTTTGTTTAGAGAAACTCTTAACTAAACAAAACTTATGAGAAATTAGTTGACTCCAAATTTTCTCAATACTAAACAACTTAAAAACCATAACACATAATATAAAACAACTCTAAAAGACTAATAGTTTAACAAAACACATGTATAAAAAAAACCTTATAAAGAAACTTTAAAATCCTAAAATAAAGAAAATATAAAAAAAGACTAAAAATCCTAATTACTATCCTAATTTTCACATGATAAGATGATCAGAGAAAATAGACACAAGATACGATATCATATCATATCTACATATGTATCGTAGATGTTAGTAATAATCTCTCCCTATTAGAAATTCATAAAGTTTATTGGGCTCCAGGTAATATCGTATTATTGGAATGAGTCCATCAACGATCTTATTTCCAATTACTTATTTTTATATCACTAGTCGTACAATTTATCTATTTTTAAAAAATAATGATAAAATTAAATTTATATTTATTACAAAATTCAAAATATACTTATAGGCATCATCAGTAAAAGATTCAAATTTATAAATTTTATTTATTTCTTTTATCTATTATTATTAAAGTTTAGTATTGTCGGTGTCCTAAATTATTCATCATAAAAATTTTAAAATAATTTAAACCAATTTCGCAAGATGCTAGTAGAATAGTAGGAGTGGATATATATATATATATAT